GCGTCAGCCTTCACCGCAAACCCTGACCTGAGGGCGCTCACCCTTGGGCTTCCACACTGCAGAAGTCTGCTTTATTTTCCATCTACAAAAGTAAGCCTCCCTCCTTCACTCCTTGGCTTTGTCTATGGTTCTACCACAGCCTGCATTTCCCAAAGTGCGGTTGCTTTGCTATTTCCAAATAAATCCATTTTGCTGGAAATCTGTGGTAACAGCCGGCATTGAGAATTTAGCTCAGCCTTGTCTTAAGTGTTTTCCACGTGTGAACCAGTTTCATCCTCACAATAAACTTATGAGGAAGTTACTGCTTTTATTCGTATTTGACTAAAGAATTGATGTGCAGAGAGGTTCCTTGACATTTCCAAGGTCACACAGCTGGTCAATGGCAGAGCCAGGATTTGAACCTAGGTGGTGGGGACTGAAGAGTCTTCACAGATACACAGAACCACACCATTTGGAAAAGAGGCCTCACATGAAAACTTCCCTCCACTCAATTAGCTTCTGAATGTTTATTGAGCATCTACTATAAGCAAATCTTTGAGCGCTGGGATTAGCAGTGAACAAAAAGGTCATGGCCTCTGCCCATGGTGCCGGTACTGTTGGGGGGCTGGGGATGGGCAGACATTCCTGAGTAATCAGGAGTATTTTATTTATTTATTTACTTGCTTATTTGTTTTGAGTGTGATTTTTTTTAATTAATTTTATTTAGTTATGCATACAAGAACTGGAGTGTAGACCAGAGGTGCTGGGGGCGAGAGGATTCACCAGAGACAGAGTGGGGAACAGAACAGGCAGACTGACTGAAATACACTGCTGAGGGGAGCAGTGGGCAAGACAGGAGAGGTCTGCTGGGCCATGTGGATAGCTCCCTAGCTGGCTGGGGATCAAACTCATGCCGCAGAGGCTGCAGATAGCTTCATAGTGGTGACACTTAACCCCTTGTGCCACCAGGGAGGCTCCTGACCTAGAACTATTTTGCTGCTTTATATATTGCTGTTTTTCCAGTGTCGTCTGGATATACTGTTACATTTTATGGTGGTAAATGCCTCACATCTGAATCAGCGCTGAATCACTAAGGCCTAAGTGTGCTTGACACTTGCAGTGGCCGCCCTATTTATCACCACTGAATAGATGAACAAGCCCCATGTGCTTGGCAAAGGAGGCCCACAGGGCACGCGTACGTGCAAGTAGAGCAGAGAAGGGGGAGCAAAACCTCCTTGTAAACTTTATTGCTCTTAAAAACACTGATGGAGGGGAGACTTCCTCCAGTATAGGTAGGTCATTGACGTCCAAATTCAAAGGTCACAGGAAGGCCCAGAAGGTCCAGTCCATGATCCTTTGAGGGAGAAGAACTTTTTCAAACCATCTTTTTCATGATAGTGAATGCGGTGGAGCAAAGGACAATAAGGCAGCCCACCACGAGGCTTGCGATGCTGAAGCCCAAGGCCAGTCGGGAACTTCTCCGGCCTCGCTTCTGATCCCCATAGAAGTTGGCCTCCCGTGTCTGAAAGCAAGTGGGGGGAGTGTATCAGGGTTAAAAGGAAATGGGGGGGTGGAGGAACATCTCCGTGGATGAGGTGGGGAGTTAAGATGGGTGGCCTAGGGAGGTAAGGGGAGGATTCAGTCCCCCAGTGAAAAAGGAAAAAGTGGGGGGGGGTGAGCAGTATGAAGGATCTGGCGTGGGGGGAACACAGGGGGCTGCGCAGAGAGGAGCAAAGACAGCTAAATGGTGAAGAGGGAGGGAGTGAATCCTCAAGGAGGTCCCAGGGAGGCGCAGGGAGGTGGGATGGGAAAGCCAGATGTGGGGTCAAAGGGAGTTCGTATTCGCTGTGTGGTGCCCACCTTGAGGGAGAATACGAAAGCCGGTATTGCCAGTGGAATGAAGAAGCAGAAGGCAACGATGGCGAGAAACAAATAATCACTTTGTGGGGGATTCAAGGACTTCAGGTACACCGGCATCACTGTGGAGTATGGCTTCGTGGGCTGGAGCTGCTGCTGCGTCAGCTGGGACTGCTGCTGCATGGGCTGGAACTGCTGCTGCATGGGCTGGAACTGCTGCTGCATGGGCTGGAACTGCTGCTGCATGGGCTGGAGCTGCTGCTGCATGGGCTGGAACTGCTGCTGCATGGGCTGGAACTGCGGCTCCGTGGGCTGGAACTGCGGCTCCGTGGGCTGAAACTGCGGCTCCGTGGGCTGGAACTGCACCTGCGTTGGCTGGGCCGGAGGCTGCTTTGGCGGGACCAGCGGCTGCTTTGGCGGGACCGGCGACAGCTTTGGCGGCGGAGGCTTTGGAGGGGGCGGCGGCAGCTTTGGCGGGACCGGCGGCAGCTTTGGCGGCGGAGGCTTTGGCGGGAGCGGCGGCGGCTTTGGCGGGTCCGGCGGCGGCTTTGGCTGGATGGGCGGCTGCGGGGAATCCGGTTCTGGCGACCAGTCTTCACTGCCGGACTCAGTCGCCATGGCCCGCGAGGAGACGCTGAGCTAGCGATCTTCTGCAGAAGGAAAACTGGACCTAAGGGAAGCCCCAAGAAGTGAGAACCGGCTGAGCCATCACTGCGTCTGAAACTGACACCCCCGCCCCCCCCCCGAGCCCGGGGACAGTACCCCAAGCCAGAACGTACCGCAACCCCATGTTCCTACATGACAGTCCTGCAGGTCCCAAGATCCACCTGAACCTTCCTCTGAACTTTCTTAAATCCTCTCTGGAAACTCCCTCCATTTTCCCCTATGTGTTGCCCCCCAAATTACTTCACTTTCCTCCTCTAGACCCTCCGCACCCCACTCCACAAGCACAGACTTGAACTCCCCCACTTTTTTCCCGAGGACCCATCACAAACCTAGATAAGGCTGACAGTGATGTCCCTAAGGACTCGCCGACTGCTCGGTCCCTAGGGGGTCTCTGGATTTGGACAAGGGGCGTGGTTTCGCCATTGTCCACCCCTTCGTTCTGATTGGCTGTTCTGGCGTAGGTGAGTTCAGACCCGGCTTCTGATTGGTTCGCTGAAGGCAGCGGGTATTACCTGGTCCCTCCCTCTTCTTCCTGCGCTCATAATTGCTTCGGTGAGCGAGGAGACTGGTTGACACTCGTCCTTTTTGTTGTCATTGTTCCCAGCTTCAACTCCTGGTCGGTCCCATATATAATGTGGGGGTCACCCGTCCAGATTGAAAGGGAATGCAAAGGACAGCTTTGTGCATTTCCTACCAGGAGCCTTCTGCACCCTGAGCGCAAGCTGGGCCTTGAGGGGCCTGTGGTGACCAAGGGAGATATGCAAGACCACAGCTCTCCTGGAATTCCCAGCCCTTGGGAGAGAAACAGGGAGGAAAAATAATTAAATGATTTAATGGGGGGATAAAAGCACGTAAACCCACTATTTCGTGGTACTCCCCTTTGAGTGAACAGTGACTGAGTGGCTTAACAATCTGTGGGACCTTTGCCTGAGGGGACCCAATGGGGCCGTCACTTGATGTGACCCTTGACTACAAAGGTTCTTGGTTGATGGTCTCTGCTGCCCCCTTGGGTTTGCAAGATCAGCAGAGAAAACTTTAACGTGATGAGGAAAGTTCTCCACAGTCCATGGCTTCTCCACCTTTTTGGCTCACACAGAAAAATGCTCAGCTGTAGCCCAGTTGCTCTTCTGCCATTTTGCTGGTCAGCGTGGCAGGATGGGAGATGTGGTTTTATGAGGTCAGATTTGGTGGGGATGGCAGAAAAGACAGAACCAGAGCTGAAGACCACAAGCCCCACCATAAACCTCTCATATTAGGACAGAAACAATGCAGGAAACAGGACTTCGGAAAGGGATTGGGTGAGTGTAGAGATTGGGTGCATGTAGGGATTGGGTGAGGCAATGACCTATCTTCAGAGAGATGAGGACGACTCTCCAGGTCACCCTCAAGTGGTCTTAGCTGACCAAGCATCACAAGGACCCTCTCAAATTGTCTCCTCTCAAAGATGGAAGGAATCCAGGCTTTTTTCTTGAATTTTATTTTTTTAAAGATTTATTTATTTATGCATACAAGAACTGGGGCACAGGCCAGAGGTGCGGGGAGTGAGAGGATCCACCTGAGACAGAGTAGGGAATAGAACAGGCAGACTGACTGGAATACACTGCTGAGGGGAGCAGTGGGCAAGACAGGAGAGGTCTGCTGCTCCATGTGGGTAGCTTCCTGGCCGGGGATTGAACTCATGCTGCAGTGGCTGCAGGTAGCTTCATTGTGTTGCGTCTTAACCCCTTGCGCCACCAGAGAAGCCCCCTTTTTTTGAATTTATTTCCTGATTGGCTCATTGATAATCCTTGAGTGGGCCTTAGCGTATTTCCTTTTTTTTTTTTAAGACTTATTTATTTATGCATACAAGAACTGGGGTGTGGGCCAGAGATGCAGGGGGTGAGAGGACTCACTAGAGAGAGCAGAGAGAATAACAGGCAGATCTACTGAAATACACTGCTGAGGGGAGCAGCGGGCCAGCCAGGAGAGGTCTGCTGGGCCATGTGGGTAGCTCCCTGGCCAGGGATAGAACTCGTGCTGCAGAGGCTGCAGATAGCTTCATAGTGCTGTGCTTAACCCCTTGCATCACTAGGGAGGCCCAGAGCATATTTATCTTAGAACTGGAAGTTTGTACCTTTTGGTCACCTTCCTCACACCTGGCCACTGTCCTCTCTCCAAGCTTATCTCCTCAGGCTTCCTCATAGCTACACCGCACAGCACCTTTGCACCTGCTTTCCATCTAGATCTTCAATGTAGAGACTCCTTCCCATCCCACAAATCTCAGTGAGGCCCTAACTTCATGGCACCTGCCAGTTACTGTTACATCGCTCTATTTCCTTTGTCGCTCTTATCTTTCTTGACTTATGTCCTGTTCAGTTTCTCCTGTGGGGTGACAAGTTCTGTGAGGCAGGAATCTATTCTGTCATTTTCAATGTAGTATTTCTGAGGCTAGCTCGGAACTTGACACACAGCAGGCACTCTATAGATGTTTACTGAATAAATTAATTCAATACATTTATTGGATAATGAGCACTCAGGGAACTCAAAAAGAGAGAAAAAGAAGGATCACCCAGAAGGCAGAAATCTCCTCATAGGATTTATTATCCCCCAAAGTGTCGGGGAGGAGGGGAGACTTTGTCCAGAGAACAGAGTCGGGGAATGGACATCTGAATATCTGAGTCCAAGGGTCTTCAGGGAGCAAGGAGAGCCCTCCGACTCTGGCCTTCCACCTCTGGACAGAAGAGGGACATAATGGACAGAGGAGATGGGACTAGACCATTCTCAGGGCCTCTTGGATAGTTCAGAGATCATGAAAAGGCGGAGGGCGGCAGTGAAGAACATGGCTATCAGTCCCAGGATGATACTCGTGATGCCCAGGGTGAAGGCCGTCTTGGAATTCTTCTCTGCCTTGACTCTGTCTCCATAGTTGTTGGCAGACTGGGTCTGGGGATGGGGGGGGATGCAGATTGGTGGGAGAGTCCTCAGGAGAGGGTTATAGATGGAGGAGTCCAGTCAGGGAAGAGGGGTTCCTTGGTTGAACGAGGGCTGAGTGGAAGCCTGAAGAGGCCTCCTCAGGAAGAAACCTGTGGCCAGAGTAGGGGTGAAGCTCAGGAAAGGATCAAGAAGGGGGAGTAGAGAGACCCAGAAGAGGACAGAGGACATAATGAAATAAAAAGTGTTCCCAGGGAAGGGCCTCCCCTCATGGCACAGGCGGTTGAGCGCCACGCTGTGAAGCTGTCCGCAGCCTCTGTGGTGTTGGTTCGATCCCGGCCGGCAGGCAAGTGTCCCACATGGCCTGGCAGACCTCTCCTGTCTCACCTGCTGCTCCCCTCAGCTGTGTATTTCGTCAGTCTGCCTGTTCTGCTTCCCACTCTGTCTCTGGTGAATCCTCTCACCCTCCCACGCATCTGGCCTGTACCCTGGTTCTTGTATAAATAAATATTTTTTTTAAAAAGTCTTCCCGGGGAAGAAGCAAAGTGGTGGATTGTGCATGGGGGAAGGGAGGTTTCTGGAGAAAAAAGGGTAACAAATGGGAGCCCCCCCTCCCTCACCAAGAGATTGAAAACCTAAGACAGCTAAGGGGCAAGGTGGTTCTCGGGGAGAAGGCTGGGGTCCTTCTGAAGGGTAAAGAAATGGGTTAGGGGGTAAGAAGGCTATGCCTGGGATGGGAGACAGTGTAGAGGTGTCCGTGCCTGGGAAGGGAGGGGAGTGGGGCCAGGGGTTGTGTCTCACCCTGATCGTGAAGATGAGGGCAATGATCCCCAATGGCAAGCAGCAGAAGAGGGACACGATGGACAGCGGCAGGAAGTCCTCTACAGGATGGTTGGGGGGAGACTGCTCAGGCATCACCGTTCAGCCCAGTGAGGCCTAGCTAGCCCAGGACCTGAAGCCGCCCACCTCGGCCAGCCGCGGAGAGACCAGCAGATTCAAGGTCTGCAGACAGCAAGAGAGAGAAGGGACAAGCGAGGCCCTGAGGAAGGCAGATGGCCTGACCTGACCCCACCAGTCAAGACAGACCCGGAAGCTGATCTTGGCCCACTGACCCTGAGGATGATGCACCACAGTGTCCGCCAAACCCTTGGCACCCCATGACCTTTCCCCGCCTCTACCACTTAACTCTCCCCAGTCACCTATAATATCCCACTGCCTTTCTATAGGTCGCTCACCACAGCCAATAAACTTAACCTTGTATACACCCACCTTCCAGCTCCTAGCACCCTGTATGGCCACATAACCTCCACCTCATAAATCCATCCCTGTCCACACATCACCCCTTCCCTGTCCCTTAAACCCCCTTCCTATCCACCATTACCTCCTCCCCATGTCACCCCCATAGACTTCTGTTCCCAGAAGCTCCTCCCTTTCCTGGCAACTTCCTCATCATCCCCATAACTCCATCAGACTACCCCCTAAACCCTTCCGGTCTCCCCACAGCATTCTTGCTATACCCCAACTGTCTCCTCATGCCTTTGAGCTCTCCTGGTGTCTGCAACCGCCTATTAGCCTCCTCCTTCCCACTGCCCAGGGTCCACGCCCATACCCAAGGATCATCCTTGCTCCATAGTCCATCCACCACGGTCCCGTCCTCCCCCGCGCTCCTCTCTCCATCTGTAACTCCCCGACGTCTTATGAGCCTCAGTTGTGCCTTCCTAAGCATCACCTGGACCTGCTAGAAGCCTCTGCCCACCCCCCTTCAACACCCTCGCGATCTGCGGTTAGCCAACAGACTCGGTTAAGGCGAGAAGCACCCTTCCAGGTTGCCAGGGCGCCGGCCGCACCACGGCATGGCTCCGCTCCCGTCCACGCTGAGATAGCCCCCCCGGGGGCTGTGATTGGCTTCCGTCCTATAAGGGGGAGGAGGTCCCGTCTTTTTTTTTTTCCCCATCTGGGCTTCTGATTGGTTCAATGAACATAGAATTTGTTTTTCTGGGCCCTCCCCCTTCTTCTGATTGGCTCGGTGGATAAAGGAGGTCGGAATTCAGATGTTTGGTTTTCCCTTAGAGACTGAACTCCGCCAGGTGGTTTTGGTGAAAAAACGATACAAGTCGGGGCCTCCCCTGGTGGCGCAGGCGGTTGAGCGACCTGCTGTGAAGCTGTCCCCAGCCACTGCAGTGCAGGTTCGATCCCGCCCACCTTGGAGCAACCCACATGGTGCGGCAGACCTCTCTTGTCTTACCCGCTGCTCCCCCCAGCAGTGTATTTCGTCAGTCTGCCTGTTCTGTTCCCCACGCTGTCTCTGGTGAATCCTCTCAGAGACAGGTTCCTCATCCCTCCTCCCTCAGAGAGTCTGAAATACTCAACGCTGCGGGTATGTGTGAGGACTGTTGACTTAAGCAGAGCCTAGGAGCACACACTGACACTGAAATAGGGAAAGCTATTCCCAAACAGGCTGTAAGCCCTGCATAAGCTGTGTAGGCTCTCTAACTCTTGGTAAGGAAGTGTTCCAGGCCCAAGGGCCAAGTATATTCTTATGTAGCAAGAGGAGGTTGAAAGACCACAGGCAATGCTTTTTTTTTTTTTTAAAGATTTATTTATTTATACAAGTACCGGGTACAGTCAGAAGCACAGGAGGGTGAGAGAATTCACCAGAGCCAGAGCAGGGAGCAGGCAGACTGAGGAAGTACACTGCTGAGGGGAGCAGCGGGTGGCAGGAGAGGTCTGTGCGCGATGTGGGACCCTCATCCGGTGTCCAGGGATCGAACCCACGCTGCAGAGGCTGCAGGTAGCTTCGCAACCCAGCGCTCAACCACTGCACCACCAGGGGAGATCCACACAGGCAATGCTTTCTTCCCACCATACTCCATGAAGAATTATTCCTGACTTCCAGTTGATATGTATGTATTTTCTTTTTCGTGTATGTATTTTCTTTTTCAGTCCTGGACCACGCCTCAATATACTTCTGTCTTTGGGCCTCTGTGGTGGCCTAGGGGTTAAGTCTCAGCACTACCATTGCGCCAGCCCACTAGGGCCTTTCAATCCCCAGCCCGGGAGCCACATGGTGCAGCACACCTCTCCCGTCTCGCCCGCTGCTCCCCTCAGCAGTGTATTTCAGTCAGTCTGCCTGTTCTGCTCCCCACCCTGTCTCTTGGGAATCCTTTCACCGTCCCCCACACCTCTGGCCTACACCCAAGTTCTTCTACACAAAAATTAAATAAAATCTTAAAAATACACTTCCATCTTAGACTAATTGGAGTCTACACCGTGGACTTTATGTGTCAAGCACTTTACGGCAAGCAAATCAGCTCCTCACACCCTCCATTCCCCTAAAACCACTAAGGGAACCATCAGCTAGATCCCAGTGGTATTAGCACCCATCTGATAGTTACCTGTGTCAGCAAGTACTGTGGTGTTTGAAATAGCTGTTTTCTAAAGATGCACATTCAGTTTTTTTTTTCAAAATTTATTTATTCATACAAGAGCTGGGGTATAGGCCAGAGGTGCAGGGGGTGAGAGGATTCACCAAAGACAGAGTGGAGGGCAGAACAGGCAGATTGACCGAGAGCAGCTGGCAAGACAGGAGAGGTCTGCTGCACCATGTGGGTAGCTCCCTGGCTGGGGATCGAACTCGGGCTGCAGTGGCTGTGGCCAGCTTCACAGTGCTGAGACTTAACCCCTTGCGCCACCAGGGAGGCCCTACACATTGAGTTGTTAACTCACAGTTGGATAGGCGAGAACAGCTGGGCTCTATGCTCAGGAGTTCAGAAGGTCTAAAGTCAAGGTGTTGGTCAGACTCTTTTCTCAACTGGAGCTAGGATCCTCTTCCAAACAAGTGGGATTGTGACAGAATCCAGATCCTTACTGCTGCAGGACTGATGTCCTTACTGATGGTCAACTGGAAGCCACTCTGCTGGAGGTGGCCTGCATTCCTTGCCAGGCAGCCCCTCCATCTTCAAGCTAGCCATGGGGAATCTCCCTTGCCTCCGGTAAGTGCCACACTCTGAATCTCTCTTTATTTTTTCTGGTAAGATCCTGATTTAAAGCATTTACATGATTATGTTAGGCCCATATCTATTAGGTTAGGTATCCTCCCTAACAGACAGATGACTAGGGACCTTAACTTCTGCTGTAAAAACCCTTCCCAGCATCCCTTAGTATTTGAATGACTAATTGAGGGAGCCTTTCAGCTGGAACCACCACCTTCCAGTCAGTGGCCAAAACCACCGACACGAAGGAAGGGGAGAGGCCCCACCTTGTGTTCTCCAGGCCTTTCGGGAGACATGAAGGTGTTCCCTTGCCACAAACAGGAGTCTACAAGGAAGGTGATACTGTAGCCATCAAGGGGGCGGGCCCTGTTCAAAGGGAATGCCCCAAGTGTTACTATGGCAGTGCTGGAAGAGTCTGTCATGGTACCCAGCATGCAGTGGGCACTGCTGTAAACAATCAAGGGCAAGATTCTCACCAAGAGAATTCATGTCCTATTGAGCGCATTAAGCTCTCTAAGCACTGAGGCAGCTTCTTGAGACCTGAGAGAAAATGATCAGGAAAAAAGGAAGCCGAAGAGAAAAGCACTTGGGTCCTGCTGAGGCTCCGGCTGCTTCAGGCAGAGTAGCACACTCTGTGAGGCCCCATGGACAGGAGCCCGAGCTGCTGGAGCCCACTCCCCAGGGACTCCTGGCAGGGCGGGTGTGAATAAATAAAGGACGTCTGGATTATAAAAATGTTTCTCTTAACCTCATAAAAGTGTGGTGTCCCCTTGCCAAAAAATATTTAAAACAAAAAGTAGTAACTGAGAGTAGTAACCCGGAAGTCAGAATCTTGGGGTCAGCTGAGAATTCTGGCCACCACAATGGTGACGTCCATTCCCGTCATTCCATCCACTTTTACTAGAAGACATTCTTTCTGCTTTAAAAAAGACCTGCCCCCTCTTCACCTTCTCTCTCTCCGCTTTCTTCCTTCCTGTCAGTATGGACTAAAGAATTCTAGTTTAATTCAACAGTTTATAATCTATTACTAACATTATTCATTTTCCTCCTTTCTGTTTGTAAATCTCTGTTTTTCTTTTTTAATGTCCTGGTTTTCTTTTTTTTAATATTTATTTATTTATACAAGCACTGGGTACAGACAGAAGCACGGGAGGGTGAGAGAATTCACCAGAGCCAGAGCAGGGAACAGAACAGGCAGACTGACGAAATACACTGCTGAGGGGAGCAGCGGGCGGCAGGAGAGGTCTGGGCGCCATGTGGGACCCTCGCCCGGCGGCCTGGGATCGAACCGGCGCTGCAGAGGCTGCGGGCAGCTTCGCAACCCAGCTCTCAACTGCTGTGCCACCAGGGGAGGCCCCCAATGTCCTGGTTTTCTTACCAGGTGTAATTATCTACTTCCTCTCCCCCACTTGTTCTTGGCAGGCGTGCCTGATACAGGCACCCTAGCCTTCTCTGCACGCAGGGGTCTGCGCTGAGAAGAGCCAGGATCCGACCTGATGGCTCCCCATGCATCTCCATCAGGATGGGCGGAGCCAACAGTGGCCGCTGAGCCGCAGGAGGTCCAGGGGCAGCAGAGAACCACGCCCCTTTACACAGGCAGCCAATCAGGACTTGAGGTGCTGCTCCTGCCATTGTGCATGTTTTCACCATTATGAAGAACTGGCCTTTGACGGTTTAAGTTTTGGGGTTCCAGTTGGAACAAAAGGAGGCGCAGTGGGTTTGGCTCTCTGTTTTCAACACACTTTGGGCCTGTCTTGGTCTCACTGGAAAGATCATGGCCGGCAAAGGAAAGATTCCCGACGACCAGCCAGATGACAAAGCTGCACCAGGCCCTGAGGCCCCACCAGGCGCCAAGGCCCCTCCAGGCGCCAAGGCCCCGCCAGGTGCCAAGGCCCCGCCAGGCGCCAAGGCCCGGCCAGGCGCCAAGGCCCGGCCAGGCGCCAAGGCCCGGCCAGGCGCCGAGGCCCCGCCAGGCCCTGAGGCCCCACCAGGCCCTGAGGCCCCACCAGGCCCTGAGGTCCCACAGAAGTGGACACAGACCCCTGAAGAACTGGCATTTTACGCCCCGAATTATGTGTGTTTGACACTCATCGCTGTAGTGTTTTTCCCTCCCCTGGGACTAATAGCTGTCATCTTCTGCATAAAGGTAAAAACAATTTGTAAGTTATGCCCCATCCTGTCCTTTTCCTGCCCCTCACATCTGCTCCTCTTCTGGGGCCTGGGACGGGGTTTCCCCTCAGTGACCGCAAGTGTCCAGCCCTGCCCCATGGGTGTCACAAGGCTGGACTATGAAACCCACATCTAAAGCTCCCCTCCTTACAGACCTGGAGAGCCAACAGGAAGAGCGAATGGGAGAAAGCTTACGTCAACTCAGGCCGAACTGGTTGGCTGGATGTATTCGCCATACTCATTGGTTTAGGCCTCATTTATTACTATGCCCTATTTATGTGAGGGCCAGTAGCTCAGTGGTCCACCCCCAGCAGGACCCAAGCACGGAGTCGCTATCCAGCCAAATCAGCCACCATTTGAGAAACCAACAGTCGATCCATCCCCTGGCCAGCAAACCCAGCAGCCAAGGAACTCAACAACAACCAAACAACTCATTAGCCCAGGACCTACACCCACCACTTGACCTCTGTGTTCTTCCACCTTGGAGATCTGCACTGTCACACCCTAGGGTCCCCATAGCTCCTTGATACTGGGCTGCTCCATCAAAGAAATATTTATTTAAATGAATAAAACTGAAGGGAATGTTCTGGCCTCTCACGCGTGCGCGTGTGTTACTGATCAGTGTCTGTTTTGCTAGGTGTTTCCATTAGTGGGCAGAACAAGGGGTACCCCAGGATTCCCAAACCTGCCTGCTCTAAATAGTTTCTGCCATCTGCCACATCAGGACAAGACATACTCTAGTGCATAAGAATGTCAATGAAAAGAACTTTGATACAATTTGTGCATAACAGAGAAAGAATACAGTTAAAATATGGGTCTCTCTGGTAGCACAGGGGTTAAAGTCTTGGCGCTATCAAGTTATCAGCAGCCACTGCTGCATGAGTTCCGTACCCGGCCAGGGAGCTGACCCACATGGCACAGCAGATCTCTCCTGTCTCACCGCTGCTCCCCTCAGCAGTGTGTTTCAGTAGATCCACCTGTTCTGCTCCCCAATTCTATCTCTGGTGAATCCTCTCACCCCCCACCCCTCTGGCCTATACCCCAGTTATTGTACACATAAATAAATAAATAACATATATATATATATATATATATATATATATATATATATAGTTAAAATAGTTTCTAGTTAAACACCCAAAAGTTACCCATCCCCTCATGGGTAAATGCCCAGCCAAACAAGGGGGGCCCAAAGCAGGGCCACTGAGGCCTGAAAGCCTGCCACAAGTCTAAGGCACCTCCTGGTGGGGACCCAAAGGAAAGGGGCAGAAGGGGCCAGGTAAGTCTGAAAGGAAAAAAGCAAAATCAAAATCCATGTCAAGATGAAGGCTGCCATTGTCAGCTTCTCCACGGGTCTCTCACCCACGTCTTTGTCTCTTTCAAGTGTCTCCTTCTATGTCCCCCAAGTCCCTGGTACAAGTTCAGGACTGAGAAGCAAGTGTGCCTCCTTCACATGTCTTGTTCCATGTACCTCCTCCAGTCTTCATCTCTCTCTTTCTAATCTTCTAGTCTTTTTTAGCTTCCCATCACTGCTCTGTTCCACCCTTCCTTAGGGTGGGGCAAAGAACCTGGAACCTCCACTTTCTATGGATATCACAGTTACATTTCCATGTGAAAATCAGAATGTCCTGATGATGAATCACAGGGACAAAGAAATAAGGCAGTTCCATGGGTCTATATCCCACCCCAGATACTTAAGAACAGTATGGCCTTGGGCAAGATAATTTTCTTAAGCCTGATTCCTTTATCTGTAAAATGGATGTAATAACTGCCAGTGTGGGATGATATTCAGTAATTTGAATCAATATTCTGTAGGTATTTCCCCATTCCAGTAGGAATTCGAGGCTTCTAGTCTCAGAGCAGGGATAGGAAAATAGAAACCTCCAGAATTTGAGATCCAAAGACCTTAGGGGAAGAATGGAAAGACCGAGAAATGAATGTCAGATTTGGCAGAGGAGTTGATGAAGCCTACCTCACCTGTAATACTGAAAGGCGGATAATTCCGGTACATGGAATAAGGGAAGTATAAAGAGATGAAATCCAGGGGCCTCCCTGGTGGCGCAAGGGGTTAAGACTCAGCACTATGAAGCTATCCGCAGCCTCTGCAGCACAAGTTCGCTCCCCGGCCAGGGAGCTACCCACATGGCTCAGCAGACCTCGCCTGACTGCCCACTGCTCCCCTCAGCAGTGTATTTCAGTCAATCCACCTGTTCTGTTCCCCACTCCGTCTCTGGTGAATCCTCTCACCACCACCACCACCGCCCCCCCTGCACCTCTGTCCTGTGCTCCAGCTCTTATATGCATAAATAAATAAATCTTTAAAAAGAGAGATGAAATCCAGCATATCTGTCAGGAGCTCCCTGCATCTTGTATCTCAGGAAGTGGGGGCGGGGGCTCAAAGACCCCAGATAAAACCTGTCTTCCTTCTTCATAGATAAATCTAAAGAGGCTCCAAGATCTCAAAGAAAATGTGCTACATAGCGTGGAAGTCTAGGAGAAATGGTCTCAGACCTCAGTCGACCAGGATAGATATCCTAAGTCCCAAGGTGGTAGAAGGAGTGAGGATCTTAGGAACACCAAATGCCAGGCCGAGACCAGTGATGACAACACCAGAGCCGGCCAGGACGAATGAAAACAAAGATCTAGCTGATACTGAGTTGGGCTGGGGTCAGCGAGCTAGACCCCAAAAGCTCAGTCTTTTTCCTTGTCTCGGCAAGGAAAGAATTCAGTGTCGAGACCTTAGTTAGGCAGAAAAGCAAGAGGTTCATCATCATGCAAGGAGAACAACAGGAAAGTTCTCTGAGCAGAGAGAGGTCCTGAGTGGATAGCTGCTGAGGGGCAGGAAACAGGGGATTATATGTTTTATTCAAAAATGGGGGCAGGGTGACTCTGGTTGTGTCTTTTGAGTTGGCAGGGCTTTGTGTCTGGTTCCTCTCTGTTTGGTTTTTGGGTTTTTTTTATTTATTTATGCATACAAGAACTGGGGTACAGGCCAGAGGTGCAGGGGGTGAGAAGATTCACTAGAGACAGAGTGGGGAACAGAACAGGCACACTGACTGAAATACACTGCTGAGGGGAGCAGTGGGCCAGAAAGGAGAGGTCTGCTGTGCCATGTGGGTAGCTCCCTGGTCAGGGATCGAACTCGTGCTGCAGTGGCTGCAGATAGCTTCATAGTGCTGAGTCTTAACCCCTTGTGCCACCAGGGAGGCCTTCTCTGGTTGGTTTTAAACATTCATCATCAATTGGGGCCAGGGTCTCCTTGACCGGATGATGTCCAGTTCTTGGAAGGTGCTAACCTTGGTCAACACAGGTGTTTGCTCCTGGGGTGGGCCAGCCTGTGGATTTTCCTATTTTCCAGGGTGTTCTCAAGACTGACCCCTCCTCCACCCCCGCCATAGCACTAACTGCCTACATTCCCAACTTATTTCCTCTTTCAATCCCATGGACACCAAACCCCAGAGGCTACTTCTAGTGGTCTAGCTTCATGGACAACCCCAAATTCAGATCCAGAAGCCCCAGACTTAGCAGAACTAAGTTTCTATAACCAAGGAGAATGGAGGTTATCCATAAACATTTCATTGAGGGCCTGAGCAAAAGGCTGTACTTTACCAAAACTCATCTCCTTTTCTTCCAGGGAGCACTACTCAGCCCCATTTCCTAGATTCCCCTTTGTCCAAAAACACTGTCTTTGGCTCTGTCAAAAGTGATGAGGAGGTGGGCCTCCCCGGTGGCACAACGGTTGAGCGCTGGGTTGCGAAGCTGCCCGCAGCCTTTGCAGCGCTGGTTCGATTCCCGGCTGCTCCCCGGCCACGGGAGGAGGGTCCCACATGGCGCGCAGACCTCTCCTGCCGCCCGCTGCTCCCCTCAGCAGTGTACTTCCGTCCTTCTGCCTGCTCTGCTCCCCACTCTGGCTCTGGTGAATTCTCTCGCCCTCCCGCGCTTCTGACTGTACCCAGTGCATGTATAAACAAAACAAACGAACAAACAAATAAATAAATAAATAAAACATGCCTCTATTAAAAAAAAAAAAAAAGTGATGAGGAGGGGCCTTCCTGGAGGTGCAAGGGGTTAAGTGCGGCACTGTGAAGCTATCCGCAGCCTCTGTAGCACAAGTTCGATCCCCAGCCAGGGCGCAGCAGACCTCTCCTGTCTCACCTGCTGCTCCCCTCAGCAGTGTATTTCAGTCAGTCTGCCTGTTCTGTTCCCCACTCTGTCTCTGGTGAATCCTCTACTCCCCACACATCTGCCCTGTACCCCAGTTCTTGTATGCATCAATAAATAAATCTTTTTTTAAAAATAAAAGATGGGCCTCCCCGGTGGCTCAGCGGTTGAGCGCTGGGTTGCGAAGCTGCCCGCAGCCTCTGCAGCACCGGTTCGATCCCCGGCTGCTCCCCGGCCACCGGAGGAGGGTCCCGCATGGCGCGCAGACCTCTCCTGCCGCCCGCTGCTCCCCTCAGCAGTGTACTTCGGTCCTTCTGCCTGCTCTGCTCCCTGCTCTGGCTCTGGTGAGTTCTCTCACCCTCCCGCACTTCTGACTGTACCCAGTGCTTGTATAAATAAATAAATAAATAAATAAATAAATAAATCTTTAAAAAAAAAGAATTTAAAATAAAAAAAAATAAAATAAAAGAAGTGATAAGGAGTGATGTTTGCCACAAACTGGCCGTGGTCCTTAGAAATCGGCCTAGTCACACCCTAAAAGTAATTCATTTCCACAAAGGAATGAGCCCCTCCCCCAAAGAAGAACACTATCACTACAATTTCTACACTGGCAAAAGGCATCTTTTTCTGCCTGCTTGCGTCTTTGCTAGTGTCTTCTCCGTTCCTTTCCTCTAATCACCCTAAACCTATTGGACATAACCAAACGCCTTTGTGTCTTTGGCAAACTTGCAGTGTGCCGATGAAAGGGGAGCTCTGCCGAAACTTTTCTCAGCGGTAACCCAAGGACCAGGCTCACAGTGAACCCACATCTCATCAAAACGACATCATCTGAGTCATCCTCAGAGCCATCCTCAAGTCACTGCCCACTGAAGAAGACCTCTACCCATCAGACCAATCAGAAGCCAGGTGCGTATGACTTCCCCACCCACTCATTATCCTCAACCTCCAATCGGCCAATGGGAGGATAGGAGGCGGGGCCTGTCTGATTTCCATGGAAATCACTGGCAAGTTGGAGAGAGATAGAGGCTCCAGGAGCCGCATGGAGATGCCCTGATGAGGGTGTTTGAGGGGACAGGGGGAAATTATGGGGGGACAGGTGGCGGGAAGAGTTAAAGGGGAGCTAGAGGGATGTTTCATAAGGGTGCAAAGAGGGAGATATAAGTAGAGAAGTATCTAGAGGGAGAACCGTTGAGGAGAACAGGCGGCTGTTATAAGTGGACTGAGGTGTTGAAGGGTCAGGAGGCTGGTTATAGAGGTAGAGAGGTGTTAGAGGGAGACTGCAGGCACAGGGGACACGGAAGAGGCTAAGAGATATAGAGGCCCAAATGTCTTAGAGGAGCCAAATGAGAGGGGGAGGCAGGGAGGGTGGAATTAATAAGTGAACAATAAGGGCCATTGCAGGACTGTGACAAACTCTTAGGACAAAGTGAGGAACATTATAAAAGGGACAAAGAGAGAGCTAAGGTAGACATCAGAAGTTGTATAAGCTGGAGTGTTATTAGGGGGCAATGAAGGTTTTACAGATGAAAAGTAAGAGTGTGAAAGTTTCCAGTGAGGGTCCCCCTTGGTGGGGTGTTTTGTAAGAGCTATGAGAAGGCACCTATGGGGAACTGTGAGGAAGTTGTACGATAGAGGGTCAGTTGAGGTTTTAGGAAAGACAACAGTCATCAGAATGGGTAAGGGATCCTGGGGGAACAGTGGAAAGGGCCAAGAGAGGCATGTGGTAGGGTTCTGGAAAGCAGGTATTAAGGAAGCAAAAATCAGGTTATAGGAGGCAGGGATTCCAGGGCATGAGGAAGCAGGTAGAGGCTAGGTGGTAAAAGAAGACAGGGTGATGTTAAGAGGAACCATATAAGAGTTTCAAGGAGTCGATGAGAGTTTTGAAGGGGGTTAATGAAGAATTTATGGGAGCCAAGGAGAGGTGTATGAGCATGAAAAGGAAGTAGCTCAGAGGGGATAGCAGAGTTCAGAAGCCATACTGAGCCACAACCCACTCCCTGCTCCCAGGTGTTTGAATTGTGGCATAACAAGCCGCCCAATGACTACATGTGCCTGTCAATTTTGGCCTTCTTGCTGTGTTTCCCCATCGGCATTATAGCATTGATCTTCTCTCTCCAGGTGGTTATCTGTGTCCTGCCAATCCTCTCTCCCTGCCCCCTCTCCTTCCTGCCCTCACCCTGACTCAGATCTTCCTTGTTTCCCTCCTGTGGGTTTAAGCCCCCACCCCGGTCCTTCTAGTTCCATGGCTTACCTACAACCAGTAATCCGCTAAGTCCATCTATTCCTGTCCTCCCCCACCCCCGCCGCCCTGAAAACTCAGACGAGGCTCCTGAACAGATGGAATGACCGAATGTCAGCAGTGGAGACCTCCCACCAAGCCTACTACATCGCAATCACTGGGGTTATCCTAGGAAGCATCATCATACTCACCTTCACGATTTACATCACAGTAGAGTTTTTGTCTCGGTAACTTCTCTCCAACTAATGAACAAACCATCAAATACATACAACTGTGTGCTCCTTACCTAGACTGTAAGTATACATTTGGGCCAGTTGGGATACCTGCTCCTTGATGTCTGGAGTGCCAGGTGTTACCACCTGAGCCACCCCCCTGATGTCACTGATGGGGGAAGGAAGGGATAGCTCAGGGAGCCCACTGGATCAGAGCTCAAGACCAACCTGCAAACCCTCCACGAAACGGGCTCCCAAGGAGACATGCTAGGATTCTGCTTCCCGGGGCAGATTCCCCTCCTTTTCACTCCTAGTTTCATGACACAAATCTACTATGTCGACAAAAGGTTTTGACTGCGCTGCCTGACTCTGGGGACATGGCAGTTACCACTTCAGACCCAACCCTATCCCTTTATAAAGCAGAGAGCAAGACAGACAGTGATGGTTGAAAGTGATCCAGTCAAATGCAGCAAACACAGGGAAGTGAGTTGTAAAAGGCCAGACTAATCTAGGTTCGTGTGATCCATCAGAAAGCCAGAGAGTCATTAGCTGTCAGAGAACTGGTTAGAATTCAAGTCAGGTTATGATTATAGAGCTTCTATAAGCAGTTATGGTTGTTTTCTGTCCCCCACTCACCCACCAAGCTTGAGATTTATTCATCATTCAACAATACTTCCTGAGCACTTATGATGCACCAGACACTCAGCTAAGAATTAGGAGGGCGACAGAGCAAAATAATAAGACCCCTTCTAATGGACCTTACATTTTAGTAGTGGGAAAAAAAACCTGTTCAAACAGACCTCAAAATAAACAAAATAATTTCAAGTGAATGCAATAGAGAAAATAAATAGGGTGATGAGTGAAACCAGTGCCAGTGCTAATGGTTGATATCATGGTTAGTGGTTAACAATGCCACCACTGTTAATGGTCTACAAGAAGTTAAGAGAAGAAACTGTCAGTGTTTTGCAATTTACAGCAATTTGACATGCCATTGCCATTGCCATGACATCCAAGCATATGAACAAAAGACTTGTCTTGCTCAGCAGAGTAGAAACCAAAATGATCTATCCTTACAGATTAGGGAGATCAAAAAAAAAAAAATGGGTCCTACTGGAGACCCGCAAATAGTCTGAGATGCCCTGGGTGGTGGGCAATGAGGAAGATATATTGTATATTTCAGCAGCTAAAAAAACAGATGTTTATTTCACACCCACGGAACCTTATAATGTGGGTGTTTTTGGTGGTCTGTGTATTAAGTCAGAGATTCAGGCACCCTCTGCTTGGTGATGATGCCTCTTCTAAGAACCCAGAGTCCTTTGAATCCAGGCATACAAAGAATGGAGAAGCCCAATTTGCATCTTAAAAGTCTTGGCCTGAAAGTGAGCTTTTGTGCTCTGTTGGTGGGAAGGCGAATAGGTACCACCACTGTGGTTCTTCATCAACAAATTAAAATTACTATATGATTCCACAGTTCCACTTCCGAGTATACACACAAAGAAAATTAAATCATCGCTGGCTACTCATGGTAATAAAGAAGGTTTCATACCTGAAATTAGTGTGGTATAAGTTTAAGACTGCACTTCTACCTGGGCCCAGCACGATCCTCGGCCCCCATTCCTCATCCTGCTCCCACTTCTTCCCTGGATTCCCAGCTTTAATCTCACCCACCACTTCCTTTCCCCCATTTGGTTATTCAACATCTGTTTAGAGAGTCAGACTCTGTCTTGGACACCAAGGGCAGAGTGGTGAGCTATGCAACCTTGTTGAATTAAAGGTCCCTGAATGTGGCCAGTTCTTGGGGTGTTCTCTCTACTCTAGGTCTCACACCTACTTCCAAAGTGTATCCAGGGCCTCCGTGGTGGCGCAAGGGGTTAAGATGCAACCGACGAAGCTATCTGCAGCCTCTGCAGCACGAGTTCGACCCCCAGCCAGGGAGCTACCCACATGGTGCAGCAGACCTCTCCTGACTCACCCATTGCTCCCCTCAGCAGTGTATTTCAGTCGATCTGCCTGTTCTGTTCCCTACTCTGTCTCTGTGAATCCTCTCACCCCCAAACCTCTGGCCTGTACTCCAATTCTTGTATGCATAAATAAACCTTAAAAAAAAAAGAAAAAAAACAAGGTGCAACCAGATCGCTGCCCTCAGACTGTGTCCCCTACTGGCTCACTCCTGACGCTGCTTTTCTACCATCCCTGCTTGGTGACGTGTGTATGTCCCCCCTGAACGGTGACCTCCTTGCGTAGAGACTGGGGTGGTCTCGGCCATTGAAGTGTCTCCAACACAGGATCGGCTCCCGTTAGGAATGGTCAAAGACGAACGACGACCTGTCTCGCACCTGAGACACCCTGTTTCGAAAATCAAAGAGCAGTATGTTTACCAGACGAGCATCTCCGGGCCTGCTTCTTGTCCTCCTAGGATGAAAGTCCCGTTTTATCATGGGACAAACCCAGGGAGGCATGAGGGACCTACTGCCTCCTGGAGGCAGCTGGTAGTGACCGCGAGGACGCGGAAAACAAGAGTTTTCCGTCGTTTCTTCGCGCCCGTTTTATCTCCTCGCGAGGGAGGAGCTGCAGTCCAGCCCCGAGACGGCGCAGACCGGGGGCCGTGGTCTCCCTGGCGACCTGTGACGTCAGTGGCTGCGCGCGTGACGCCATCGGCGGGCGCCACACTCGAAGAGAGCGCGGGAGGCGGTGGCCGCGGCGCTGTCATGGAGTTAGCGCGGGAACTGGGGCGCTGGGCGGTTGAAGAGATGGGGGTGCCCGCAGCCGCCCGACCCTCGGAAGCGACGCTGCGCAGGTGAGAGCCCCTCTGGGAATGAGGTCTCCCCACCCTGGAGAGAGAGTCTCCGGGACTGATAACCCCACCCCTCAGCGAGGACGCGCCTTCCTCCCCTGGCCCCTCTTGCTCCCGTGAGAATGACCCCTGAGAGTCCCCTTCCCTTGAGTAGTATCTTCTGGGAGAGGATCCTGGGCTGAGGAGGTCTGGGTGAGGACACCCTGGCGCTGACCCGCCCACACCCCCACCCCCACCCCGCCCACTGCCCCTCGAAGCCGCCAGAGGTCGGTCCCTGGCACCAGTGAGGATCCTTCTGGAGTTAATGAAAGCCCCTTTCCATGTGGAAATAGGATCTCCCTGGTAAGACTCCCCGGCAGCACCTCCACCCGTCCCCCACTCCCACCCCCAACCCCACCCCAGCTAGTGTGGAAGCTGCAGAGTCAGCAAAGGGCAGCCTATTGGAGGCTGAATCTACAGGAGTGCTGACCCCCATCTGGAAATGAGAGTGCTTTCCTGGCCTTACACTCCCACCGCTGAAAGTGCCTGGAGATAACCTATTCCAGGAGAAAGGGAGTGTGAAATACCCCCACACCCAGTGAGAAGTTCACTGTCTCCCTTGGTGAACTACTCAGGAGGGAGTATCTTACCCCAAAAAAGTATGCATCCACTATCCCCCTAGAAATTTTTTAGAATTCCCTAGTAAAAGGCCTTTCTCACCACCACCTCCCTGAGAATGAGGCTCCACCATCTTTTGGGGTGACCCAGGGATACCCTTCCACTCCCCACAGGCTGTGTCTCGGCCAGGGGGCTGACATCTGGGCCTATGTCTTGCAGCATGTGTACAGCCAGAGGTGAGCCTCGCTGGAGGGAGGCTGTGGTTGGGGGGAGGGACACAGGCCACTCCCACAGTAACCCCTCTTCCTCCAACCTCTCCACTCTAGCACTGTCGAGAAGATCCGGGGGAACCTACTCTGGTAACTGGTCTGCAAAGTTATCCCCTCTCCTCCCGGTCCCATCCAGCCCTGACCCTACCCAAAGCCTCACACTGTCCCTGGCAACGTCTGTCATTCCCTCACTCTGACTTCATTTCCTCAGGTATGGCCACCAGGACAGTCCAGAGGTGAGAAGCATGTACTGCGAGATTTTCTTTCACCCGAAAAAAGGACATAGCTCTTCTGTTGTCAGCCCAGCCTTGAGCTGGGTGATGTGGGTGACCCTGGGTCATAAGACAGCCCTGATCCTTGCACTCATAGGCGTTATCATCCAGGGAGAGACAGGCACAAGCTGGAGGTTGTGGGGGAGGAAGGGGGGCATGTATGTGAGCCGATGAGGCTGTCAAGGGAAGATGAGACGACGTTTAAGAGATATTGAGGCCAGTGTGCGATCCAGTGAGTGCAAGGGCCCTGGGGGACACTTTCAGGAGACCTTGGGACTCCTATATGTGGAACTCAGTGGGGAGACGAGGACTGGGACAGAGATGTGGTGTCAGTGCAGAGACAGGAAACTGGCTGGAAGGGTAGGTGAGGCAATCCTTGGAGGGAGGAGGGCCACTGTTTTCTGAGCCTAGATGTTCAGGCACAGAAACTGCTTTGGAAAAAACTCTGCTATCCCCCTGGGCAGGTGAGGAATCTGGTGTCCCACCCAGGGCAGTCAAGTCAGGCCAAGCCACAGGCAGCATGTGCATCTGACCCTGTACCTGATCCCACCAGGCACGTCGGAAGTTGGAGCTGGAAGCGACTATTGCCCACCTGCGGGCAGAGATCCAGGAGTTAGACCAGAGCCTGGAGCTGATGGAGCAAGAGACCGAGACTCAGGGTGACCCACAGGGCTGGGTAGATGGGCAGCAGAACTACAGGGCTAAGGGAGGTGCTGATGGCCACCCCTGGTCCCCCAACAGAAATGGCCACGGAACAGGCACTACAGAGACTGCAAGAAACCCAGCGCCGTACTCTGCTCCTTCAGGCCCAAGCTGGGGCCATGCGAAGACAGCAGCGCAGGCTCCAGGATCCCGCACAGCGACTGCAGGATCAACTCAGTCGCCTGCAGGACATAGAGAGGTGAGCCCAGGTGCCCAGGGACCAGCCCACACTGGCCTGGGCAGACAGCTGTTCTCCTTAGAGTCCCCAGTGCTCTGTCCTCATCCCTTCTTGGGTCAGAATTCTGAACTCCTTAGGATTTAAAGTCTGTGAGACCAAGAAATTTTGTGATCTTGGCCACCTGTGTTTCAAGTGCCTAAAATGGTGCCAATGATATATCGATTTGTTTGGGGGGAGAAGGGGTGACAAATTTCTTCTTTTTTTTTTAAAGATTTATTTATGCATACGAAAGTGGGGTGTAGGCCAGGGATGCGGGAGGTAAGAGGATTTCACTAGAGAGAATGGGGAGCAGAACAGGCCGATCTACTGTAATACACTGCTGAGGGGAGCAGCGGGCAAGTCAGGAAAGGTCTGCTGCTCCGTGTGGGTAGCTCCCTGGCCGGGGATTGAACTCATGCTGCAGTGGCTGGGCAATAGCTTGATAGCACTGTCTTTATCCCCTGCATCCCCAGGGAGGCCCAGGGGTGACAAATTTCTTAACAGACTAAAAGAGCAGAGAATGGAGTCCCATACATACAATCATAGAACTTTTTATGCCTTCTCTTTGTATCATTTTCTTTATTTTTCTCTCCATATATCAAAGTTTTTTGGTGCCAATAAGATATCTAGCACACCAGGGAAAAAACAGTAAGCAAGGGATGACCCTGCCCTCCTGCAGCTTACACAGATGCAGAGACAGATGGTATATGAGGAAGCAAACAAGCCCAAAGCTGCTGGTAGCAATGAGTACTGGGAAGAAGAGGTGCTGTCACAGAAAGGGGGAGGAGGTGCTACTCCAGGTAGGGTGGTCAGAGGAGGTCTCTGAGGAGACAACATTTCTGCAAGAGCAGAGGCCCAGGGCAAACTTGGTCTGTGGGAAGACCAAGCAGGAAGCTAGTTCAGCTGAAGTTTCCCGGGCAAGAGAACAGAGCATGCAGAGGTGAGATTGGAGAGGTGGGCACATAGCCATGGAAAACACTCTGAGGCTGCGTTCATGCCCTGGCTTGGCCACTTCCAGCTGTGTGACGCAGGCCAGAGTATATAACATCTTTTTGTCTCCTTTTCTAATAGAATGGGGCCTACAGGAATACCTTCCTCATCAAGTAGGAATGGTGATTCAGTCAGTTAAATCACTTAAGGAGTGTTATGTGTTACCTCTGTCATTGTTCTGAGTGTGACGGGAACACATCACACTGTGAGGGTTTTGAGCAGAACAGCGATGACATACCTGAGGTTAAGGGTCAGTGACTACCAGGCAGAGCTCAGACTGCAGGGTGACAGCAAGGAGAGCAGCAAGGTGGCTGATGCATCCATCCAGCCAGAAGATGGCAGTGGCTTAGTTTTGGAGGAGGCCCCTGAGTTCCAGGCTTGTGATCCCTGTGACTAGCCTTACTGGCAGCAGGAGAGGACACAGCCCCAACTGCGCTCCTCTCTCCAGGAAGGCCAAAGTGGATGTGACCTTCGGACCCTTGAACTCAGCAGCCCTGGGCCTGGAGCCTGTGGTCCTGGTAAGAGTCCTTAGTCATAGAGGAAAAGTTGGGGAGTCTGGGGTCAGGTGGACCCCATGTCAAATCCTAGCCTCTTCTTTCTAGAGTGATGTCAGAGCAGCCTGCACCCTCCGGACCCAATTCCTGCAGAACCTCCTAATTCCTCAGTCTCGGGGAGGCAGCATCCTGTGAGTGTCCCTCTGCCTCCCAGAGACCCTGCAGAGAACCTGGACTTTGAGGGGAGTTTCTCATCTGTTAGTTTCTCAAACGCTGAGCCTCTGGGCTGTATCAGCACCCCCAGGCGCTGCCCTCAAAGGGCTCCCAGGGTGGGGAGAGCAGGAGGCAGGTCTGTCACAGATAGAGCCACCCAGGTGCTGAGGGCCGGTGCGGGGTAGGGAAGCCTGGGTACCAGAGAGATGCCCTGCCTGACTCGGGGCAGGGTGCCGCCATCCTGGTGAGGAAGCTTTGCGAGGGTAAAAGGTTGAGTGTGTTCCATATAAAGAGCCCATCCATGCGAGAGACCCCAAGGCCAGCCAGTTGGTATTGGGGGAAACTCCAGTCTGCGGGTAGAGAAGGACTTGGTTTTCTCAGTGTAAATGGGGACAGTGACAGCCAGTGCCTTCTGGGCTAGTGGCGCTCATTAGAGGGCGAAGCCATGTGTCTTGTGTTGTTCTCCCCCCCCCCACCCCGCTCCCACAGAACCCCTCGAGATGACCACCTTGGAGCGTCCTACCAGCAGTGGCTTAGCTCAGTGGAGGTGAGGGGAGGCCCTCAGGAAAGGCTACATCCTGTAGCCCCAGTATTGAACCCCAGGGTGCCGGGACCTAACTCTTGATCCCTGCTCCACGGGGTCCCTGCCGCCATCCTGCCCTGACGTCACTCCCCCACCAGGTGCTGCTGACAAATCACCCTCCAGGCCACATCCTGGCTGCCTTGGAGCACCTGGCTGCAGAGCGGGAGGCAGAGGTCCGGTCCCTCTGCAGTCAGGAAGGGCTGCAGGAGACGGAGACGGCCAGGTGTGGAGCCAACTGCTCCTGTGGTCAGGGCGGGTGGCGGGGTGACCTGGGACAGGTCAGGAGTGGGCACAGTGGCCTGCTGCTGGGGACGGAACTGAAACCCAGTGACCAATCCGACAAATGGGCTGGCGTTGGCTACCCCCAAAGGCCTAGGCAAGAGGACGGGGCTCTTCTCACCAGTTTTGCCCCCTCCCCAGGTCCCAGATGCCAGGCCAGTCGGACACTGACCGGGCCTTGCCGTCCATAGAACATCTAATCCAGGTGACCCCCAGGCCCCTCCCAAGGCTCCATCCTTTCCCATCCCAAGACCCACTCAGTCCCTTCTCATGCCCGAGGACCTGCCACCCTGACTTTGGACCCCTGTCCCAGGAGGGCTGGCGGACTGTAGGTGTCATGGTCGCCCAGCGGGCCCCCCTCCTGAGGGAACATCAAATCTTGACCCAGCGCCTCCAAGACCTGATGGAGAAGATGGAGAGCTATAACCTGGGACCCAAACAGAGGTGAGGGGGCTCCCCCAGCAGAGGCCTCTGGGCCAGTTCTCTCCCAGAGGTCTCTGGTATTAGACTTTTTATGCCCTCTGTGGCTCCCCACTGACCCCCTCCTATCCTGGATTGTCTCTTATGTTTGTGGCTCCTTGTGCACCCTTGCAGGTGATCTCCCCCAGGGTGTCTCAGTAACCTTCCTCGCCTTTGTTCTCTTCTGCCCACACTCCAGGCAGGCGCTGGTGTTGGGGCTCCGGGCCTGTGGCCTGCGGGCAGAGCTCAAGGCCCTGCATGCCCAGAGCCAGAAGCTGGAAGAGGCCACTGGGCAGCGACAGCTTCTGCTGCGGGAGCTCCAGGCCAAACAGCAGCAAATTCTGCGCTGGCGCCAGCTCGTGGTGAGAGGTGGGACCTGGTGGAGGTGGCAGGGCCTGAGAAAGGCTGGGAAGGCTGGGAGCTCCTGTTATGCCAGACCCGGGCCTCCTGGGAGATGGGGAAGCCCGGGAGAGGCTTGCAGGGTGCGACCCCCAAGAAGAAGCAAGTCCTGTGCAAGGGGATAGGCGAGGCCAGACATGGGAGGTGGAAGGAAAAACAGCCCGTCTCTGGGCCTCTGGGTGCCAGGAAGAGACACAGGACCAGGTCCGCCTGCTCATCAAGAGCAACTCGGCCAGCAAGACACGCCTGTGCCGGAGCCCCGGAGAGGTGAGGCTGCGAGGGCCGGGTAGGGCCAGGTCCCTTTCTGGGGGGCAGCTGGGTGCCTCAGGCTGCCCCTCCCACCGTTTCCCTTCCCCACAGGTGCTGGCTCTGGTTCAGCAAAAAATAGTCCCCACTTCTGAGGCAGTGGCACCGCAGAGCCAGGAGCTGCTTCGCTGTCTGGAGAAGGAAGCCCAACATCTGCCCCACCTTATGCTGGGCTCCCTGTTGCGGCACAGCCCCGAGGGGTAAGACTGGGGCCACTCCCATATCCCCTCCCATGGGTGACTCACTCCCCGGACAGAACTCCGACCCCCCAGGTGCCCAGACCACTCACCCTCAGGTCCTCAGTTCCACTCAGAATCCTGGTCTCTAGACCCAAGTCCAAGTCCCTGGACCAGCAGAGCCTACCTTTCAGCCCCCAGAGGCCATGAACCCCAAGTCTTCCTCTCAGTGCTCCCCAACCTGACCTTTCCCACAGGTCACAGCCCCTGCCCACCACCCTGCCATCCATCCACCAGCTGCATCCGGCCTCCCCAAGGGGCTCCAGCCTCCTAGAGCTGAGCCACACACTGGGGCTGCCCTCAGGGAAGGTGAGTGCCTGTCTTGGGGTCCTGGCCTCCCGCCCTCCCCCACCCGAGGTGACTGTCCCTTTCCCTCCCCCCAGGCCCCAGAGCTGCTCCTCCCGATGGCTGCCTCACTTCGCCAGGACCTCCTGTTCCTCCAGGAGCAGCAGAGTCTCCGGTGCTGGGATCTGCTCCACATGAAGACCAGCCTCCCACCCGGGCCATCCGCCCAGGGTAGGTCTCCCCACGCCCATAGCCAGCTTCCTTGCCCGTTCCCCGGACCACCAGACACCCATCGCAGACGCAGTGCACCTGTGTGCTGAAGCTTTAACCATGGTCACTGGTTTAGTCTCCATAGCCCTGTGAGGGCTATGCTGTGCCTGGTATCCAGAGGACTTAGCTGCCCAGATGGCAGAGCTAGATTTTGAATCTGGGCATTTTGACATGGGACTGTGCCCTGACCACTAGGCTGCTCAGTGCCTACTGCCAAGTATGACCCGTTAGTGTCCCTGTGTAGTTACAGGCTGGGCTGTGGAGTTGGACTACATGGATTCTGTTCTCAGGCTTACCTTTTCCTTGCTGTGTGACCTCTCTGTGCCTCAGTTTCCTCCTTGGTGGAGTAAGCATGGTCACAGTAACTTACGGAGTTGCGGGAAAGACTCAGGTGAACAAAACACAGCACTGAACAATTCCTAGCATGTAGCAAATGCTCTTTTTTTTTTTTTTTTTAAAGATTTATTTATGCATACAGGAACTGGGGTACAGGCCAGTGGTGCGAGGGTGAGAGGATACACCAGAGACAGAGTGGGGAACAGAACAGGCAGGTCGACTGAAATACACTGCTGAGGGGAGCAGCGGGCGAGCCAGGAGAGGTCTGCTGCACCATGTGGGTTGCTCCCTGGCTGGGGATGGAACTCATGCTGCAGAGGCTGCGGATAGCTTCACAGTGCTGTGCCTAACCCCTTGCGCCACCAGGGAGGCTCCTAGCAAACGCTCTTTGTCTAGCGTGATTGTGATCATTTTGTCTGTGCGCAGTCTCTTCCTGTCCTTACGAAGAGGGAAGGGATTACTAAAACCCCAGCTTACAGAGAGGGGACAGAAGCTCAGTAAAATCATTCATTTTTGGGGTCATTCAATGAGCACCCACTGGGTAGCTGCCAGGGGCTGGCCAGAGAGCTCAGTGGGGAGGGAGGTGTGAAGGTTCCTGATAGTAGGAGCAGAGGGCAAAGAATCAACGGTAAATAGATGCCAGAGGTGAATTGACGAGAAATGAATCTGGGTGCCCCTAGTGCTGCAGGAAGAGACCACTTTCACACCTTTGAGTCTGGGTCTCCCTGCCTCCCCACTCTCCATGTGAGCAGGGGCAATCTGTGGGAACAGCCAGAACAGTCCAGGACCTGGCACCACATGAGCCCACCTCATGGGCCTCTTGGACTTCAATACATCGAGAGCCAAGCTTGGTTCCCTGTGCTCTGAAAAGCAGTAGATTTCCTGGTTTCCTTCCCTCGGTAAAGGACTCCACCCTCCTCAGGAGGGTGCTTAAGCCAGAAACCCAGGAGTCAACCTTAATTCCTCCCAGATGCCTAACCCCCGTCAGCTGTCAGTAAGCCCTTTGGGTCCTGCCTGCAGGGTCCCCTCCGCCCCCTGCCCCACTAGCTTGAGGTGCAGGTCATTCTGCCTGACTGCAGGTACAGCTGAATAAAGGGCAGTGTCAGGCCCAGTGGGTCTGGCCCCACCACTGGTCTGCAGCTGCTCTGAGCTGGGCCTGTTCTGGGATAGTGGAGAATGACCAGACCCTGTCACTGTCCCTTGGGGAAACACTGCTGGAGCACAGGGCTGCAGCAGTGAGGATGCTGGGAAGGACTTCCAGAGGAAAGACTACATCTCTCATGGGCCCTGGGGCGGGGGGTGGGGGTGGGGGGCAGTAGGTGAGGTTTCGCCCAGGAGTAGTGAGCAGAGGCCACGTAATGGAAACCTTTAAGTACTAGGCTAAGGAACCTAGACACTGTCTTGGGGGCACTGGAGAGCCTTGGAGTGTGCCAAGCAGAAGAGGAAAGGATCAGGTTTGGGCTTTAGAAAGACCACTCTGGCCACCATGAGGCGGGGTGGATCAGAGTTGGGGTTTGAGGCCTGCAGCCTAGAAGGAAGGCTGAGAGAGAGATTACGGAAGTGGAGAGGAAGGTGAGGGACAGGCCATGGGGATTGATACGCTACCTGGGGAGAGGAGAGGGCATCCAGGTTAAGAACTGGGGCGTGGAGGGCTCCCCCTGAGATGCAGACCTAGGAGAGGAAGAGGATTGGGAGAATGCTGAGGTCAGGACTAGAGACTTGGCGACCCATTGGCTTCAAGGCACTAGGAAGCCAGAGGACTCAGTGCTGCCTCCTGGGTTTGTAACCTGCAGAGTTGCTGCAGATCCGGGCATCCCAGGAAAAGGAGCAGAAAGAGACTCTGGGGAAGGCTCTGCAGCGACTGGAGAACCTGCTGAAAGATGCGCTGGAGCGAATCCCCCAATTGCAGGGAGTCGTCAGGGACTGGTGAGAGGAAACCTTTGTGAGGAGTGGGGGTTGGGGAGGTGAACTGTGGAACAGATAGGACTCGGGCTGGGATGGGAGGGTAGGACTCAGGCTTGGGGAAGTGCTGTAACAAGTGGACCGTGGTGTTTGGGGAGTCCAGAGAGGGTCTGTGACACTGTCCTTTTCCTCAGGTGGGAGCAGCCAGGCCAAGTTGCCGTCTCTGGGGAGCTCTGCCAGGGCCTGTCCCTGTCCCAGTGGCAGCTGCGCTGGGTCCAGGCCCAAGGCATCCTGCAGCAGCAGTGCAGATGAAGAGGGAGCTGCAACGGGAGTCAGAAGCTTCACAGTTCTTCACCCCAACACCGCCTCTCCTTTCTGCCTTTGCAAGAAAGCATCACGTGGCTGTGTCAGCCATTGTCCTCTCACATCTCTCACAGACCGGACCTTCAACTGCCTTTTCCTGTCTTTTCATCCCACCAAAGCCAAGAAAATGGTATACTGTGCACCCCACCCCACAACTTCCTGAAACTCCCTTCGTCATTCTCACCATCACCAGGTGTAATAGAGTTTCTGTGCTAGACACAGGATCCTGAACTGAACAACAGGGACCAATGACCCCATCTTCAAGGAGTGAAAAAACTAGGCAGGAAAGTGGCCTGCTGACGAGCAAGCAAATATATAGTCTGTTGGAAGATCACTGCTATGGAGAAAAATAAAGCAGCTGCAGGAGATATGATTTTAAAGATTTTAAATAGAGGACTCCCCGGCAAAGCAGTTTGTAAAGGTGGACTCTTGGCATGGTCCAAGGCCCCGAGTTCACAGGTGCCAGCATGAGGGATGCCACTGGCCAAAGATGGTACATTTTTGAGCAGCAATGATTTGAAGTACATCCTGTGTGTTTGAAAATCTAAGTTTATATTGATACTCACACAGACCAAAAACCCCACAACCCCTGTCTACTTGGAAAAAAAAAAATCCCAAATGAGACATTCTACAAGAATCGCCAAAGTCATTAAAATGAGGAAACTGAGATTGCCAGAGCAAGAGACACCTAAGGAAACAAGACAAATAAATGTAGCATGTCATCCTAGAAGAAACAGAATAAGAATAGCTAAACACTAAGGAAATCGAACAAAGTGTGGACTCTAGTCACACTTTGGGGGCGGGGAGACATTTCTGTAGCATTGAACAAACTATTTTAACAAACGATTCATTTGTGCCCATTCTGACTGGGACTTCAATAAAGCAATAAAATTAAGTTTCCAAAGGGGAAAAGCCCGACCATCCAACCAAATACAGTGTGTGCATCTTAGATTCTTATTTTACAATACTACTGTATAAAGACATTTGAGACAGCAAAAATTGAAGAGTCTAGGTGTTATTAAGAAATCTAGGTGATATTAAGAAATCCGTTTTCTTAGGTGTCAAAAAATGGTATGTTGTTTGTTGTTTTTTCCTTTTAAATAGTTCTTTATGTGTTAGGCATCATGGAGCATTTATGATTGATGTCTGGAATTTACTCCAGCAAAAAAAATCATTTTTTAAAATAAGATAGGTAGGTTGTTAGCGACTGTTGAGAAGATGGCGATTCATTACTCTCTATTGTATTTTTTGAAAATGTTTCTAATAAAAGATTTTGAGGGCTGCAAAAAAAAAAAAAAAAAAAAAGGTGTTTGATGTATCCCAAGGACAGTGACCAAACCTACACCCGTGAACTTCAGAGCTGACACATTTAACTGCCATCGCGACTTCTGCACAAACTATTCCTTCTAATCCAAAACAACTCCCCTTTTCATCTAGAAGGTCTTCAGACGTCACCTCTTCCAGGAAGCCCGGGTCAAGGGTCCCCCAGACCGTGTCCCCGGCCTTTCTAGGCGTCACTGCCTGACAGCCTACGCGTCTACCCCCGAGTAGGCGCCCACGCTCCGGGGGCGTCTCCCCTGCCGCCCGGTCCTGGGGCCCTGCACGCACTTCGGTGTATTGAAGAACTTCCGGAACGGGCAGCATGGGCGGGGCCTCCGAACTTTTCCTGAGCTCTCAAAAGCCCGGGGTCCACCTTAGGGACGGGGCCTAGAGACTTTACCGCGCTCTCATTAGCCCCTGCTCCCCCGAAGGCGTGGCCGCCTCCGCACGGCGCACTCTCGCAGATGGAGGTTCTGCCGTGGGTCCGCTTCTCCGGCACTCGGATTGGCTTTGAGTCCTCGTCGCCGGGCCTTCCGGGTGTGGCCAGATTCTCATTGGCCGTTGCTCCATGTGCGCCCCGTTGGCGTATGATGTCATGCACGGCGCACGGCGCGTTTGCTTACGTCATTCGCGGGCGCCCACCCCGACGGAGCCAGAGGGTAGACAGTGGGGCGGGTGGGGGCAGCTGAGCTTTGGCGGTGGTAGCGGCGACGGCGGCAGCGATGGCCGGGGCGGGGCCGGCCGGACTCCCGGGTGCGGGAGGAGTGGTCCCGGGTCCCGGCGCCGGCATCCCGGGCAAGAGCGGCGAGGAACGCTTGAAGGAGATGGAGGCGGAGATGGCCCTGTAAGGCCCGCTACGGGGCTCTTGAAAAGCCATCCCGGAGCCAGAGCCATCGAGTTCCGGGGCCTCCGGGCCGCGATGGGCCCGGCATATGGCTCTGTTATGGGGAAACTTCGGGACCGTGGGGGCGGAAGTGAAGAGGGGGCGGTTGTCAGGGGTGGGGGCGCTGTCTCGGTATACCTGTGTTCCAGTATTGGCGTAAGGTCCTGAGCTGTGATGTCTGTCCTGTCCCCCTCAGGTTTGAACAGGAAGTTCTGGGAGCTCCAGTAACAGGAATCCCAACTGCTGTGCCCACAGTCCCCACGGTGGAAGCGATGCAGGTCCCAACACCTGTCATCCGCCCAATTATCGCGACCAACACATACCAGCAGGTATGACTGAGCAAAGGTATAAAAGTCAGAGGGCACAGTGTTTGGAGCACATTGTTTGTATACAGAGAGCTCTTGACTCGTTGGCTTGTTTATTAGTTAGCATGACAAATTCATCATGTACCAGAGGCCGAAGACATATTAATGACAAGGCAAACAATATTCCTGCCCTTTGGGAACATACATGCTAGAATATGTGGTGTAGAGCTTTCTGTAATGATGGAAATGTTCTGTATCTATTTAAAATGTATATTTAAATAGTTCCTCAGACTGTCTAGTCACATTAAAGTGCTCAGTGGCTAGCTACGTATGACTAGTAGAGAGAGAATGAAATCAATGAAATGCCAAATAACTATCAGGTGGCCCCAGGCACTATTCTAGACATTAAGCATATGGCAGAGCACAAAACAGAAGAATTATCACTGCCTTTTGGGGAGTTACATTTTGCTAGGAAGAGACAGACCACATTAAGAAGGGCAGAGGTTTATCAGCAAGGTCAGGAAAGGCCTTCTGAGAAGGTGACATTTATAAAGGACATGATAGAGGCAGCCATACGGGTTGTAAGAGAAGGGAGTACTGTCAACGCGAGGGCTGTGAGGCAGGTGTATACCTGGCATGTTCGAGGAATAGCAAGGAGAATGGTGTGACCAGACAGTCGAAGGAGATGAAGACAGATTGGTGATAAGAGACCATATCTGGTAGGGCCTTGTGGACCACTATAAGGACCTTGGTTTTTACTCTGAGGCGGGAAGCCATCAGATGATTTTCTTTCTTTCTTTCTTTCTTTCTTTCTTTCTTTCTTTCTTTCTTTCTTTCTTTCTTTCTTTCTTTCTCTCTTTCTCTCTTTCTCTCTTTCTCTCTTTCTCTCTTTCTCTCTCTCTCTCTCTCTCTCTCTCTCTCTCTCTCCTCCCCCTCCCTTTTATTTTTTTAAAGATTTATTTATTTATGCATACAAGAACTGGGGTACAGGCCAGAGGTATGGGGAAGCGGGGGAGGTACAAGGATTCACCGGAGACAGAGTAGGGAACAGAACAGCAGACTGACTGAAATACACAGAGGAGCAGCAGGCAAGTCAGGAAAGGTCTGCTGAGCCATGTGGATAGCTCCCTGGCCGGGGATCAAACTCATGCTGCAGTAGCTGCCAATAGCTTCATAGGTTTTGTCTTAACCCCTTGCGCCACCAGGGAGGCCCTCTTTCTTTTTTTTTTCTTTTTTTGGGGGGGCATAGAAGAACTGGGGTGTAGGGCAGAGGTGCAAGGGGTGAGGACGGGGTGAGATGATTCACCACCAGAGACAGAGTGGGGAGCAGAACATGCAGCACTACTGAAATACACTGCTGAGGGGAGCAGCGGGTGAGATAGGAGAGGTCTGCTGTGCCATGTGGGTAGCTCCCTGGCCAGGTATCAAACTCAGACTATAAGGGTGGATAGTGCTGAGACTTAACCTCTAGGACACCGGACCCCTTTCAAATGATTTCTAATAGAGGTGTGATATGACCCAGCTTAGATGCTGTCAGGGTCACTCTGGCTGCATTTGGAGAACAGACTCAGGGCCGGGGTACAAGCAAGGCGTCTGAAGAAGAGGCTAATATAATAAGCTAGGCAGGAGGTAATGGTGGCTTGGACTTGCATGGTGGCATGGAAGATGGGAGGACAGGCTGGACATAATTTCAGATAGTGCTGAATGCCCTGGATGAAACAGGGTGAGCGAGGTTGCTGTTGGAGGCAAGGGAGTTTAGGATAGTTTTAGCTAAGGTGATCTCAAAAACCTTCCTGAAAGGGGACATCTTACCTGAGATCTAAAGATTGACAGCCAGCCACACACAGTGCAAAGAACCATGGGCCCCCAGGGTGTGCCAGCCAAACAGATCAGCAACACCCATCAGACTCCTCACCCCAACCACCTTTCCACAGGTCCAGCAGACTCTGGAAGCCCGGGCAGCTGCTGCCGCCACAGTAGTTCCTTCCATGGTGGGTGGCCCTCCTTTTGTGGGCCCAGGTAAGTAAGAAGTGGTGGAGTAAGGGAGCTAGGGGATCACCACGGTGGTAAAAGAGTCCCCAGAACTCTTCTCTCACCATCCTCTTCTCTCCTTTACCGACAGTTGGCTTTGGCCCTGGGGACCGGAGTCACCTGGACAGTCCAGAGGCACGAGAAGCCTTGTTCCTACGGCGAGCAGGTAGGGGCCAGGGAACCCCACATTGACCACTCTTGTTGCAACTATTTCAGCCTTTTGCTGGAATCACTGCGTTCATTCACCCTCTTCATTTCCTCCCCACCCTGATGTCCTCTTCTGAAGCACAGACCGGGTTATGCACATCTCCAGTTTGGCTTCAGTGATACTTGATCATTGCAAATCATCCCCATGGTGTCATTCGCCATCCCTGCCTTTTGCTCTGTTTCTCTGTAGCCCTGAACACCTTATAACAAACACTACAACCTCAGCCATCTTCTGTTTCCTCTAAAATCCAAGCTCCACGAGGGGCGGGATCTTGGCGCCTGCTCAGTAGTAAGCGTCACCTGCCAGAGGTTGATGTGGTGACAAACCGTCAAACAAGCATTCAGCTCCTCACCTGACAGTCCAGCTCCTGTATCACTTGACCCCTTGCAGAGGGATGCCTCCCTTGTCCCGGAAGTCCTAAATGTCATTGGGGTGTGCCAGCAATGCTTTTGCTGAGATCCCCTCTCTCCCTCATTCACTGTCGCCCAACTGTGAAACCTTGGTGAGATCTTACCAACTAAACCAAAATCAGATTAACCCAGGGAATTCAAATTCATCCTTTACACAGGCCAGTCTTACTTTCTGTTGCTGAGGTGACCTTATACGCAGTCAGCTTTTGTGATATCACTTCCTTATGGGTGTGAAAACAACCCGTGTTCTCTAAAGTTCTGGCAAACCTCCATTAGACAAGCCTTGTTACTTGCGTTACGTCAACGTGTGATGCTTTTTTAGCTGCTAGCTGAGCGACTTTAACCTCTCTTAGTATGGTTTTGATCAAAATGTAAATCTGACCTAGTCTCGCCGCCCAGCTGCCAACCCAGCTGTGGCCCCCAGTGCGCAAGGAAGATGTCCGCTGGCAGCCATGAGGCTCTGCCAGGCCGCCCGCCACTCTCTCGGCATCTCTTACGACACTCTCCAGCCTCTGGCTGCCTCTGTGGCGCTACACCAAGAAGGGAGTACTTGCCAGGGCTACTTGGACTCCCTCTTGCCTAACTGACTCTCTTCATTACTCTTTGGGTCTCAGTTCACAGATCCCTTTCTCCAGGAATCCTGCTCTGACCCCAGGTCTAGGCCACGGCTTCTCTGGGCCTCCCACATCCCCGGGGCTCCCCCTGCTGCCGCAGTCACCGTGCCCAGGCTTTCCCACATCCTGGCGCTGATCCTTCTGGGCTGTTGCTTCTGGCAGTGGGTCTGCTTGCTCCTCCTCTGGCCCCGCAGCTCCCTGAGAGCCCTTGGCCTTTTGGTGTGTTCTAGCATTGCCTAGGATGGGTCAGGCCCAGAGGGCCTCCTCCATGGTGAATTTGTTGCTAAATCAGCAAATGAAAACACCCACATGTCTCAGAAGGCTCCCCGACTCTTCTCCAGGATATCTTGGCGCTCACACGCATGCCTTTCCCCAAGAGGCCCAGTCTCCCATGACACACACCCCCATCTCTCTCTCGCAGCTGTGGCCTCCCAGAGGGCCCCTATCCTGCCTCCAGCCTTCATCCCCCATGTGCTACAAAGAGCAGGTGAGGGGCCAAGGCCATCAT